GGGTGGTCGAAACCCTAGCCTGCATATCCTTTATATAGGGCCCAACCCCGAAACTTAAGGTTTTACGTGAAGAGCGACGTCATGTCGTGTTAATTAAATCACCATGTCGTGGTGAGGATGACACTAACACGTCGTGGCAATCAAAACACCATGATGTGGTAAGGTCAAAGTCCACATTTCGAATTTTAATCACAATGGAAGCTTTAAAGGATAGTACCTCAAAATTCGGATGTTACACAATCATATGAATAAAGTGTTGAGTTATTAGCATAAATACACTTAATCATGGTAGCAAAAACAATAAAAAATTACCTAAGTGTACATAAACCATAAGATTTAGGTTTTACTAATTATAGAATCGAACTTTAAAATAAATCAAAGAAAGAATATTAATCTCTTGTTGTTTCTTTGATTGGGACCTTGTGAATACCAGAACTTGTAATGGATGAAGGACCCAATGTAGTATCCCTCTAACATAGTTAGACCCAAACACCAAAAGTTAATAAGGAAAAACGCTTTTGAAGGCTTAATAAAAAAATCACTAACCCTATGAGAGAGATTATGGTTTTCGACTTCTAGAAGGGAGGAGAGAGGTAGATGAAATATGAGAGGGAATCAACATGTAGGGTTTGACCTCTAACATTCTATTTATAGCACCAGATAAATCAATAAGAGATTGAAACTCTTCAAGATAATCTTTATCTGATTCAAAACCTGTCTTATTCATATCTAACTTCACAAAACCGTCTGTATCAGGTCTCGAGGAGCTACTATAATATTCTAATTAATCTCTAGGAATTAATTAATATTCAAGTTCTTTAATTAATAAAAACTATTTATATAATTTCCAACATAATTTTGAATTAATTTATTAATTATTTAATAAATTAATAATTTATTTTTCTCCATATTGCTATTTGGGTTATGGGGCTAACCCAAAAGGACTATGCTATTATTAAAAATATTACTAAAATAGTTAATAATCTTAGATGCTATTTTCAACATAAAAAAATGGAGAACATTAGTCAAAACCCTGGATATTAAAACAGGTATAACCATATTATATTCTTTAAATTTATTTTGATAAATAGTTGAAAATTACAAATTTATATTTTAGGTTCGCATGAAGTAGTTATTTATGTGATGATACCTACCTTGAACTTAGTAAGAGTTGGGATAAAATTGATAAATATCTCGAATTCAAACTTTTTTTTTGAACGGCAAATGAGATAAATATATAAAAGTAAAGAAAAGGTACAAGCTTAGCCAGCAACTAAGACGCATACAGGAAACTGGGAAGAAAATACAACATTAAAAAAAGGTGAAATTTGAATGCAAGAAAGGTGAACAGCTCCATTCCACCCATCAACCACCTCTGAACTTGCTCCTGTGTTTGCACCAAATATATGATTGGGAGATGATATTATCAGCACATTTTGTCGGGGGAGTCCATATGTTTTTGAAAACTTTGTCATTTCTAGCCCTCCAAATATTCCAAAGGAGACAATATAACACCGTGTTTGTTATCAATATTTTCCTCGGACAACTATCTAATGAGGCCACGTGATCAGTGAATTCCAACACACAAGTGAAATTCCTAGATTGAAAACCGCACCATTTGAAAATCCATTCAAGAACCACCTGAGCATACTTACAGCAAACTAGGAGATGATCCACTGATTCTAGCTCCTTATTACACATCGGGCACACTGAATTTGTTATGCTAATACCCCTTAAAGCCAAAGTGTCAGCTACAAGGATTCTACCCATCGAGGCCCTCCAAACGAAGCACTTGACTTTCAAAGGGATCACCTTTTCCCAACAAATTACTTGCCCATTGTAATGGATCAATTTGGAGTCAATTAGTCTCCTCATAAATTTTACAATGTATTCCCCATTTGCTGATAAGGTGAAACTGAAACCGAAATGGGGAACATTTTTGAAGCCCAAATTTCCAATATCATTGTATAATTGTAAGATTTCGCTTAATTCACCAGCATCATTCAGCTCATGCTTCCAACACCATGAAAAATCGTTCCTTGACAACCTCTCATTCAAAAAACAACATTTTGTGGATTCAATCTGGTAAAGGCGAGGGAATTTTTGTTGGAAAGGGACGATACCGCACCATGCATCCTTCCAAAACAGAATTTTAATGTCCGCACCGGGATTGAGTTTGAATAGGTCATTGTAGTCGATATTTAAAGCAGCAAGGGACTCAATGGCTTTAGAAATGTTGCACCATACTCCAGACGAGGATTTCCTGGCTAAATAAGTAGCAGGCTTCCTGTAAAGATTGTGAATACTCATTATGACCGATTTCCAAAGACTTCCATTTTCATTCATCAAGCGCCACCACCATTTGGCCAGAAGAGCAATGTTTTGAGCTCTTAGCGTGCCAACTCCAAGACCCCCCTTATCTTTTGGAGCGATAACTTTTGACCAACTGACCCAATGAATTTTGTTTTTAAGATCATCTCCACCCCAAAGAAATTTGCGCCTTATTTTCTCCAAGGCTTCAAGGATACTGTGTGGTGTTTTGAATAAAGACATATAATATGTTGGTAGGCTACCAAGAACAGATTTCACGAGGGATAAACGCCCGCCAAATGATAGTGATTTTGCCTTCCAACACGAGAGTTTGGATTGAATTCTGTTCAAGATTGGTTTCCAATGTTTTTTCAAGGCCATATTTGCCGCCACCGGGACCCCCAAATAAGTGAAAAGGGAATTCACCTTTTAAACAACCAAGGATTCGATCCATTTCGGTCACTTCCAAATCATTAGTTCCCAATCCGAATATCCGAGATTTAAGAAAGTTAACTTTCAGCCCAGAGGTGATATGGAAACATTTGAGGATACTTGCTAAGTTTTTCATGCATCCATAGTCCCATTCACCAGCAAAGATGGCATCATCGGCGTAAAATAGATGGGATATGGATGGGCCTCCAGACGGAAGTTTAATACCAGTGAATAAAGATTTTTCACATGCATTCCTTGTCGCAATGTTCAATCCTTCCATGGAAATGATGAACAGGAAAGGAGAGAGAGGATCTCCTTGTCTAACACCTTTGGAGATAGGGAATTCTTCTGTGGGGGAACCGTTAATAAGAACCGATGCCCTAGAGGAGGATAAGCATCCCAAGATCCATTGTCTCCATTTTTCACCAAAACCCATTTGCATCATGACTGACTCGAGGTAATTCCAATTAATGGAATCGAAAGCTTTTTCGAAATCCACTTTGAAAAGAAAAATCTTTTTCTTGGATTTCTTGGCCCAGGATAAGATTTCATTCATGATTAGGGGCCCATCAAGGATGTTTCGACCTTCAATGTACGCAGACTGGACTTCGTCTACGACCGAACCAACCACCCTTTTTTAACCGATTAGCGAGTAGCTTGCCTACTAGCTTATACATGCATCCAATGAGACTGATGGGGCGATATTCAGAGAGAGAGAGAGCGGGTCACCTACTTTAGGGATAAGGGTAATAAATGATGAATTGCAGCCAGAAGCAAGAGAACCAGTTCTTTCAAAATACTTAACAAAGTTTAAGACATCATTTTTCATGATTTCCCATTTATCTTTGATGAGTTTGAACGTCAGACCATCAGGACCAGGAGCCTTATCACCCCCACATGACCAAACGACTGATTTGATCTCCTCGGATGAGAAAGGAGATTCCAAGAAGAGGGAATGCTCAGGAGACAGTTGCTTGAAAGACTGGCTAATGAGTTTCGGACGATCCAACCATTTATCATGAAATTTGTCCTTGAAGAAGTTAAAAGCCACCTGTTTAATAGCTTAAGGATCTGAAATCCAAGCACCTTCGATTGTAAGACCGTGGATTCTCTTTTTCCTACACTTATTTTTTAGTGAACCCTGGAAAAAACGTGTGTTTTCGTCCCCATCAACGATCCATTTTACTTTAGCTTTTTGTTGTAGGTCAAGCAAAGCAATACGTTCAAGATCCATAATTTTTGTCTTATCATCTCTTCTGAAAAATCTTTCAGATTCCGTTATACACCCGTGTTTCAGCAGTTTTCTCCAATTCCTCCACCTTAGCCTTTAACTGAATCAATGAGCTAGCTTGTTTTTTCGATTCTGAGAGTCTCCATTCCCGAATTTTGTTTTTAATGTATCTTAGTTTCGCTGAAAGGTACCTATCAGGATTACCATATCCAATAAATGAGTCCCACGCCTTGGTGAATACTCCATTGAAATCTTGACTAAGCAGCCAATAATTAAAGAAGCGGAAAGGAGATGGGCCAAAATCTGCATTGAGTGGTTTAAGGATTAAGGGGGAATTGTCAGAATAATCTTTAGGTAGTGCAATACCAGAGGAGAGCGGTTGAATATCAATGAAATTGGAACAGACAAGAAAGCGGTCAATTTTGCTGATTTTGTGACCATCTTCCCTAAGATACGTGAACTTGCCTCCACCCATATTAAATTCTTTTAGACCCGCCTCCGAGATGAACCAATTGAAGTCTGCAGCAAAGTATTTGCAAAATTGGGAGTTGAATCGTTCATCTGCTTTACTAACAGCATTAAAGTAACCAAAGAATACCCATTGCCCCCATAGTAGCATTTTTTATGTCAATTAACTCTGCCCGTAGAGCTTTTTTATGAGCAGACGATTGAGGACCGTACACATTGACCAATGTAGAGATCCCCGGGAAGCCTTTCCAATGGCCTGAGATTGCTATGAAATTTCTAGAAGATTTGACACTGATTTTGCAAAAGATATTTGGGTCCCAAATACATACCAGACCTCCAGACCTACCAGTAGGATTTACCGCTTCAAATTCATAGTTATTAGATCCCCAACAGCCCACAAGATCTATATGACTATGGTCTGCTACTCTGGTTTCTTGAATACCAATAAAATCAAGCTTGTGTTTGAATCTAAGATTTCTGATCCAATCTACCTTGTGAGATTCACCCACCCCCTGATATTTAAGCTCATTGCATTCATTGACAGACAGAAGTAGCACCATCACCATCGGCCCTGAAACCCAACAAATCATCCAAAATAGCATTGTCATTTGCATCTATGTTAAAACCCACTTCGTTACCAATCTTAATTAGATTGATAATGTTGCTAGAGTCGGAGGAGCTTTCAACAAGATTTGATGTAGCACTGAGATTTGGAATGGAAATGTTTAAGTCAAAGGAGGCAACAAGAGTTGGAGAAACCAGGTTACGATTGGGAGAGATCCTGAATTCAGTGGATAAGCGGCGAGGGGGAAGGGAGAAAGCGGGAATATTAAAAGTGGATCTATCTAATTTTCTTTTTTTGGATTTAGATTCACTGACACCAGATATCGTGATGGGGGCGTCAAGTAATGGATCTGGATCACCATTAATTTGGGCTAACGAATTGGGTAACAGCCCATCTGGGGGCAAGGGGGAATTAAAAGGAATAGTTGGCCCAACATGAACAAAATCGGCTGACCTGTTAGAATCAAGCGTGCCAGATGACTTTTCATGTTCCGCATTTAATATTTCATTAACGTTATCGGGAATCACCGAAATCGAAGCCGTTGTCGATTGCCGCCTGACGTCATCGTTGCCATCAATAATAGGATTTTGTTCACCGGAGTTCCCGCCGATTTCACCTTCTTCCAGATCATGAGAGTTTTCGCACCAGGTATCAGAAATACCATCGTCATCTTCATCTGAAGAGGCCTTATCTACGACATCATCCACCAAATCCTCCATGTTGTCAGGGTCTGGGGAGCAATCATTGGAATTATAGTACTTGGAGAATGGTTCCCAGACATCAACACATTTGACGATGCCAATGCAGAAGGACTTCCCATTGAAGGTACAACAAACTTCCTCGTTTATGAGTTTTTTACTGGCGGTGAGGATGCGGGCATGAGCAGACGCCAAATTAATACACCTCCAATTTTGACCATCCACTTCCAATATTTTACCGAGCGAGCTAACAATTGAAGTAACGTTGGCATCAGACCGTAAGTGAATGGGAAGACCGATGATCTTAACCCATGCTTGTCTCTCGAATTGCAATTCTTCATTAAACCCCAACTTTAACCATTTGAACCATCTATTCCATCTGTATTCATTGTTGAGGTATCCAGTAGCATCACCTTGTACATGAAACTTTAGTAATACCTTCAAACCTCCAGCAAAGAAAACTTGGCATGGGATGCAACCATCAGCATTCAACAGATTTGGAAGATCGTTGAGAAGGTCAAAGCTTGTGACTTCACCAAGAAGAATCATATTGCAAGATCTCTCCATTGCAAGAACCTGTGATAGTTTGATTTCCGAGACCACAGGAGGAGGATGCACCTTAGATGAGTTGTTGCGCCTTCCCATAACGTCGGCGAAGGATCTATCATCTCTGACCTTGTTCCAGCCGCCGAAAGGCATTTTTGGAGGTTGAGATTTGTTGACGAACTTCACACCAGGTTTGTGAATGGGTTTCTTCTCAAACTTAGAGACGTTTACCTTTGTAATGCATTGACCACATCTAACTCCGTCCAATGTTCTAGCCATAGCAGTTGCATCTAGAACACATTTATATTTAATGAACGCGAAGAACGAGCCTGCTTTGTCTTTCCTGCCGGGGATGTAAACATCAACCAGGTTTCCAAAACTATGGAAAGCTTCCTTCAGCATAGCATTTATAACATCATCTTGAAGGTTAGAGACATAGAATGAGGTGATTATCTTGTTAACCTGAAAGTTTCTCCGGCGAACTTCCACCCATTCACCTCCATCGCCTTTGCGACCGTCGGTCTCCTTAGGGCGCATTTTTTTCTCTCGAATGCAAACTAACTATTTAAATATATGCTGTCATGACTTGTGACTCCGTTTCAAGTCTAGTAAACCATTTGCATTTATATATTTATATGTTAATATAAATATTTGAATAATACTTAAGTATGTGATCATACATACCTGGAACTTAGTAAGAGTTGGGATAAAATTGATAAATATCTCGAATGCAAACAAAGTATCTAAATATATGTTGTATGGACTTGGGACTCGGTTTCAAGGATGGTAAGCCATTTGCATTTATATATTAATATGTTATTACTAATATTTGAATAATAACATATGTGAAAACAATTCGTTAGATATGGATTTTGGAGATGTTTCCATATATGCATAGCGGACCTTAGTGGTGTCTGGGGTCCCGGGTCACTGCTCCGATTCCGGCATGTAGTGTAAATTTTTTTTTTGATTTTTTTTTATGTTTTTTTCTATTAGGTGTACCGACTTAAAATACGAGTGCCACTACTAATTTAGATTTTTTCGAAAATTTTGTTTTTAGTGTATATGCATCAAACCTTCTGCATCTGCCACTGTATATGCATCAAATATTTTTCTTACGTACGTAAGAATATAAATATGTCGAGGAGTTGAGGATAAAATGTTGGGATCGGAGAAAAAGGTTGAAATGGGAAAACGTTTGCCACATTTTATAAGTTAGTAAGGTTTGTTTATATATACATATATACATACATACAAACTAAGGTCACTGCGCGATGCATCGACATCTATTTGTTACATTTCGCCGATGGTTTTCGGGTGACAATTGGTTTCGATTCGACGTGCGACAAATTGTTTTCTTTTAATGTATAGTTTCTTTTCGGTAGACGTTATTTTTGGGTACATACGTAATGCGATGAACGTCGAATATGTGGTTTTTGGTAGGTTGATTTCTTTAACATGCCAATAACCAGACTTGATGCATATTTTCTTTAATCAAGATAAAATATAAATAAATAAACATCAAATTAAAATAATAACTAATTATTTTTTTTAAATAAAAAAATATATGAGTAAAGCAAGTTAAAGACATGCATCAACCATGATGATATTTATGATGCAGTTATTAGTTATATTATTAACTATGAGATATATTCGTGCTTCATCACGTGACGAAGTTTTGTTTTTTTATTTTTTTTTTTATTTTTTTTTGTATTGTTTACTACCGGTATGAGCGCATGCAAGAGATTCTATGTTGGTGAAGAACAAATAACAGAAGCAATCTGAAAATAATTTTATATTTCATTTCTACTAAACACTTGTTGTAAATATACAATTTGGTTCAGAAATCAGAAGTGGAATACAAAACCTTTGCATCTATTATGGAAATATTCCTCACCACTATAACGGGCTAAAAAGGGTGCCGCTGCCTCTTTATTTATGGAATGAATGTGTGGTTTATTCTGAATCGTCTAATTTGAATGCCAATTAGCTAATTCTTTAAAAATGACGGTTTTGCCCCTGCCTCTTCATCTTCATCTAATGATGACCTTCGTTTGCTTTGATATACTGCTAATCGTATAGGTAGGTAGAACTATATTAAGGATCACATGGTATGCAATTTTAGCTAATCAGACCTGCACATGACAAAATTCAAAATTCAAATAAATGCGAGGAGCATAGCCACATGATATGGAATCATGATATGGAATAAAGGAAAAAAGATTATAAAAAACAAAATATAATGGTACCAAGTCGAAGTACCCTTTTTACACGTTCATATAAATAACCATTTGGGTTGTGGTGACTTGGTAAAGCATGTGGAAGATATGGTGGATAACCTATTGACTCATGTTCAAATCCTGGCACCACTCAGCCTTTGTGGCCATGGAGGTTCGCCTGCAGTGACTCCAGGGCATGAGGCAAAGCCTCATGTTTGCAGCGGATGATTAGTCGGTGCGTGAAAGCTGGCCCGGAAACCCTCGTTAGGGAAGTTCCCTTTCCAAAAAAAACATACATGCATTAATATATATCAGGTTAAGATAAACATTACAAAAAAATTACCATCGAGTCCTGTTGGTAGAAAGTGTTTTGGCGGAAGATGAAGAATATACTTTTTGAGACGCATGTGTAACTCCTCAAAATGTCAAAACCTGTATATAGTTTATAGTTTTAGGCTCAATGACATAAATAGGTAACAAAGTTTCTATAATTTCTTCATTTAATGTTCTTGTAGTGGGGTTAAGACGTTTTATTGTAGAAACAATAAACTAAAGATCGATAGATTCTTAACAGTAATGTGAATCGAAGAACAAGAACAATGATTAAAGATGTGCCGCATGCTTAATATTCAATAACCTTGGAAGAGTTCAACGTGAATTTTTCTGTAATGGTTATGTAGGGCAATACAACTTGTTAACCCTAATGAGATACATGCATGCACTATAAATAGTCTAACCTTAACACGATAAATACGGATGGATAGACCCAACCCCTTAATAATTAAGACTATTAAGTACAAAACATTTTGACACAATACATTAATAACCCAACATTTTTATATAGCCCAACATGGCAAAATAATTTTTATAATGACATACAATGACAACATAATTTTTCAAGAAACATTTTCCACTTCAGTCAACATTATAACAAAACTTAATTTATATTGGATTTAGTTACAACTTTAATGACTAAATGAGAATTCATTTAATTTTTTGCAAATACATATCTTTATAATGCCACGTTAGATCCCCATATGATGCCATGTTGGCATGAAACCTGTTGAATTTACTACTACTAATGGTTAGATTGTCAGTTTTAACTTTTTTCCTTTTTGAGTAAATTACATGATTTGTCCCTAGTTCAAGTGTTAAATTGTACGTTTAGTCTTTATTTTCATAAATTAACTAGAACCGTCCCTCATATGATTAAAAATTGCATTCTTCGTCCCTACTGATGATGGTGGTTATCATTCTAGAGCCTCTTTGCCAGAATCTGGTGCTCGTATTCTCCGACAGGAACTTTGCAGCTTCACTTTCATAATCGAAACCCAAAACTTAAACTACAAACAAACGAGATTGTAAAATGAAATTGAACACCATAACTTTCTATTAAAAGAATCAAGGAATAGGGGGAAAGGTGGTTTCCGACGGAGGTGAAGGTGGTGAAATGAAATCCCAACTTTGAAATTTGACGGTTACTTGATTTCTGAAATCCCAACTTCCAAAACCCAGTTTTTGAAACCTCAATTGCAAACCCTGATTTCAAGAATCCCAACTTCGAAATCCATCTGTGACCGACTAAGTAAGACAGGGTGAGGAAGTAGACCACGCGAGAGAAGAAAGGTAAGAAAGCTACTCCGACGATATGGTGTTCTCCAGTGCTCAATCAGTGTCATCGGTGAATCAGCGCTGGTGCTCTTTAGGGTTCATAAATGGGGTTTTGGAAGACGGTGAAATAGATGAGATGCATATACATGAGTTGAAGGTGGAGTGATGGGGTGTGGCGTCCACATTTTTTTATATTAAAAATAAAAAAAAAAACTAAAAAGAAATGACGAATGGCAGTATAGTCATTTCAGGTCATGTAGGGACGAAACGTGAAAGTTTTAAACATATGAGGGATCGATCGAGTTAATTTTTGAAAATAAAGACTAAAACACATATTTTAGCACTCGGACAAAGGACGAATCGTGTAATTTACTCATATTTTCTAAATGTTTGGTGTTCTGCTGATCACAATTAGAAGTTAGTGATTGAATGACATAATTTCAGATACTTTGCTATCCATTTATGTCATTAAGATCTAAGAACCATTAATTTGTATAGCAAAGCACCTTCTTTTGACCATTAATTTATATAGCAAAGCATCTTCTTTTGATAGACCAAGTAACGTTGTTCACATCTGTAACCAATATGGGATACACGGTAAATGTATTTGATCCACTCTTAACTAGGTATGAGATTTAAAACCGAAAAATCAGACTGCAACCGGAACCGTTAGAACTAGAATATTTAGAACTGATACGGAGTTTAAAGAATGACTTTATGTGGGTTTCGGGTAATCCAGGTTTCGGGTCCTTTGGGTCCGGGTAAATCGGGTTTTAGAACCGGAACTGGTGTTACGAACCGAAACCGGATTTTGTAAAAAATTTAAAACATGCATATCGCATTCGTTTAAAGTCGAATTGACATGTTGTTTTTTCCAATGTGTAGTTTAAAGTTTGTACATGAACTTAGATTATAATTTTTTTTATTTTCAGTTTCATATTCATTGACTTATAGTCCCCTAAAGTCAGGATTCAAAGCTGGAAGTTTTCTGTTTTTCAGATTTTTTTTTTTTTTTTTTGTATTTTGTGAAAATTTTAAAACATGCATATCTAATTCGCTTGAATTCGGATTAGAATACAGTTTTTTCCAACGCGTATTTAAAGTTTGTACATGATTTTAGACTATAGTTTTTTCATTTTTAGTTTAATATGCATTAACTTATAGTCCCCCAAAGTCAGGATATCAAAAAGGGAAATTTTCAGTTTCTTAGCTTTTTTGTATTTTGTGAAAAATTTAATACATGCATATCTGATTCGTTTGAAGTCGGATTAGCATGAGATTTTTTCCAACGTGTAGTTTAGAGTATAACTTTAGACTATAATTTTGTTATATTTGGTTTAATATTCACTGACTTACAGCCCCCCAAAATCGGTATATCATAGCTGAAAATTTTCAAAGTTCAACCGACTAAGTAATTACCAAACAGTTATGGTTTCTAGGTTTTCCGGTTCTAGATCCACTTTATCCAGTTCCACCTAATCCACTTTGGTGTTTTCGGGTTTTCTGGTTCTAGACCAACTTACCCGGTATATTACCCGAAACCGAAACGGAATCGGTTCCTATATATTGGTCCGGTTTCTGGTCCTACAAAATCATGTTAAGCGGTTTTTGGGTTTTCCGAATCATGTTTGGACCAAACTTCATCCCTACTCTTGACATTGTTTGCATCCAAAACCTACAACATCTAACGATCTATCAATCAAATGT